GAAAGGGGAGGTTATGCTACATGGATGATTTTAGTGTAGGCCGAGCACATCACATATACCATTAGCTTGGACACAATGAACAATAAATTTGGTTGTGGCACTGCCGATTAGGTCATCTATCCTTTAGCTACTTGAAGCATTTATTTCCTGATTTATTTTCTCATTTGTCAATTTCTGACTTGAAATGTGACACTTGCATTTTGGCCATGAGTCACCAAACTAACTATCCTTTGAGCATGAATAAATGTAATACTCCATTTACTTTGATTCATTCTGATATGTGGGGTTCATCGACTATCTCTGTTGGATATGGTATACGGTGGTTTGTGATATTTGTCGATGATTGTACACATATGACATTGTTATATCTGTTGTAACACAAAAAATGAGGTACTCAGTGCATTCCAAGCATTTCACGATATGGTTCACACTTTATTCTCGGCACAAATTCAAATTCTTCGCTCGGATAATGGTGACGAATATATCAATCAACCCTTCCAAGATTATCTTCAAAAACATGGTCTCCTCCATGAAACCTCTTGTCCCCAAACCCTTCAGCAGAATGGGGTTGCTAAGTGCAAGAATGGGCATATTCTTGAGATTGCTCGGACACTATTACTTGGTGCTCATGTATCCCAACGCCATTGGTTAGATGCTGTCTCCATAGCCGTGTACTTGCTGAACCAAATGCTGTCAAAAATCTTAAATTTTAAGACTCCTCTTTGCATTCTCTTTGCCCGAATCTCTCCTCGACAGCCTTAATGCTTTCTCCTAAGATTTTTAGATTTGTAGCATTTGTCCATCTACATAAGAATCAGTACATTAAGCTCGACCATCTACGCTCCGATGTCTTTCTTGGGTTATGGTGTCCATCAAAAAGGGTATCGTTGCTATGACCCCTTTACGAAGTGAACTTTCATCACTATGGACATTACGCTTCTAGAATCAGATACATTTTCCCGTCCTCAGCAACTACATCTCCTCTTCGGGGGGAGACAGGAAGTGAAGAGCCAAGATGGTTAGCCCTAGATTGGGTAGCTACCAGGATAGTGAAGGTGTAAATGCAGAAATTGTTGAACCAAGTACCACTCCAGTTGATGTATTGTCAACCTCTGAGGCTAAATTCACTCAATCTGAACCCCCTAACTCTTCAATACTTATAGACCCATTTCCTGAGAATATTCCCGAGTTAACTATTCCTACCACTCCTCCACATACTAATGATACAGATATTTCTGCTAGGTATACATTGCCTTTCAGACACAATTAAGGTAAACCACTAAATAGATGCTCTCCTGATGAGTAGAAATAAAGTACAAAATACCCAATTGCCAATTATGCCTCCACCAAGAAGCTACTCGAGCTCTCGAGACATTTGCACACAAATTGTCCTCATATTGTGTTCCAACTAGCATTCTGGAAGCTCTAGTTGATCCAAAGTGGACTCAGGTCATACGAGAAGAAATGGAGGCATTACTGAAGAACAAAACATGGACTCTAGTCCCACTCTGAGAAGGTAAGAAAACTATGGGATGCAAGTGGTGTTCTCTATTAAACATAAAGCAGATGGGTCAATTGAACAATACACAGCACGACTTACGGTAAAAGGATATACACAGAGGTATGGAGTAGTAATGGGAGACATTCTCACCAATGGTAAAATTGAATACAATTAGGGTCCTACTGTCTCTTGTAGTAAATCTAGTTGGCCACTAGAACAGTTCGATGTAAAGAACACATTTTTCCATGGAGTTTTGGGGAGGAAGTGTACATGGATGTCTTACCAAGCTATAAGGCATCATCGAACGTCAATGTTGCTTGAAAATTGGAAAAAGAGCTATATGTATTGAAGCAATCACCTTGAGTTTGGTTTGGGAGATTTAGTCTAGCAATGAAGAAGTATGGCTACAAACAAACCAACTCAGATCATACTCTTTTCTTAAAACACCGACTGGGCTTTGATAGTCTATGAGGATGATATGACCATTACATGAGACGATGCTGAAGATATATCAAGACTTTAGGAAATAGATGGCAACTAAATTTGAGATGAAGGACCTAGAAGGACTCAAGGATTTCTTGGAAATTGAAGTTGCTAGGTCACAACGAGGTATATTTATTTCACAATGGAAGTATATATTAGATTTATTATCTGAGGTAGGAATGTTGGAATGAAAGCCTGCAGTACTCCTATCATTAAAAATCGTAGACTCAATGAGCATCTAGACCAATTACCAACGAATAAAAGAAGGTACCAGAGACTAGTTGGTAAGCTTATCTATCTCTCACATACACGTCCAGATATTGCCTACGCGGCGAGTATTGTAAGTCAATATATACATAACCCAGGTGAGAATAATATGGATGCTGTGATTCAAATACTTCGGTACTTGAAGTTCTTCGCTGGAAAAGGACTTATGTTCACAAAGAATAAACATCTACTAATCGAGGGCTTTACAGATGAAGATTGAACTAGAGATATCAAAGACAGAAAGTCTACTTCGGGTGACTTGTAAAGTGGAAGAGTAAGAAACAAAATGTAGTGGCATTGTCAAGTGCTGAAGTTGAATCCCGTAGAATGGCTAAGGGACTATGTGAACTTCTATAGCTTAAGAAGTTGTTGACCAAACTTGGAGTTAACATCACCACATGGATGAATCTTTTCAGCAACAACAAGGCTGCTATTGCCATTTTCCATAATCCTATTCAGCATGATTGTACCAACATGTGGAAGTAGATCATCACTTTATCAAAGAGATTCTTGAAGCTAAATTATTTGGTTTCCTTTTGTAAAGTTCGAGGACCAGTTGGCCGATGTACTCACTAAAGTTGTATCCAGCAAAGAATTCAAATCTCACTCTCCAAGTTGAACATCCAAGATTTGTATGCACCAACTTGAGGGGGAATGGTGGCATGAATAGAGTAGTTGTAGGAAACCCTAATGAGGAAATCTTTCATGTATAGTCAAACCTTATTTTGCCTTTTATTTTTGCCCAAAAATCTGCCATTACCTTGCATATATGGATGGGCTCTTCCTATTTATTTGTAAGTTGTACGCTCAAATAAATATACAAAATAGAAGATTTGCAAAGACTGTCACTTCGAGTTGTTAAGAATGCTTGGAGGATGTTGGGGTTGGCATCAAAGATTTTGATTGTGTCAATGGTGGTATGGTCTTTGATGAAGGCAGCCACTTAAGATGGCATTGGGAGGTTGTTAGCCATTGTGCCATAGTTGACGCCGATGGTATACTCCGTCATTGACGATGGGTGAAAAAGATAAAGAAAGAGATGACATTAAGGAAAAGCTTCAAATGGTGGTTAAGTAACAATGCAGGAGGATTTGTTTTCTTAGGTTTTAAAGAGAATTTTTTATTTTGTTAATTTATGGGGTTATTGAAAGAATATAATATTATTTAGGAAAAATTGCAGCAGCGGTCCCTCACCTTTCACTTTTTTGCAGACTTTACCCTAACTTCAATTTGTGTCATCCACAGTTTGAAACCTTTCAAAAATATGTACCTGAACTCCAAATGGATGGAAGCCATCCAATGGACCGATAGTTGACCAAGGAAGTGAATTTTGACCAAATTGAAATGGGTAAAATCGTAATTTTGCTATTATATACATAAAATAATTTTAAAAACCAAAAATTAAAAAAAATAAAAAAAGAGAAAAGAAATTTAAAAAAATAAAAAAATCAAACGCTAGCACCCACCCCTCTTTCTCACCTCTACTCAGAAATCAACCATCAGCAGTGCCATCCAACTTCGGCACCATCCCTAGCGTCAATCCCCAGAGTTAGCCCATCGAACCCAATAAGATCCTTTCAATTTTCCCACCTTAGATCTCAATTTTTTTGCTTTTTCATTTGATTATTCTATTTAAGTTTTGTATTTTATAGTAAGACACAATCTCAACTTCATCCTACAAGAAGTTTTGGGAAGAAAGAGAGTTAGATGAAGATGGACAAGATGCTTAGGGAAAGAAGGAGAATCAGGTGGTGGTGTCTATTGTAGGCGACGACGGGCGATTTTGGTGGACTGATTTTAAGAAAGGAGGGTTGGCCAGTGGTGGACAAGATGTTTTGGGGAAGGAGAGTTGGGTGGTGGTGACTGTTGTAGGTGGTGATGGGCGATGGTGGAGTGATTTTAGAGAAGGAGGGTCGGCTAGTGGTGGACAAGATGTTTTAGGAAAGGAGAGTTGGGTGGTGGTGATTGTTGCAGACGGCGATAGGCGATGGTGGTGGACTGATTTTGGGAAAAGAGAGTTAGGTGGTGGTGCACCGGATGTTTTGGAAAAGGCGGAGACGGGTGGTGGTGGTGGTTGTTGTCGACGGTGACGGACGATGGTGGTGGACTAATTCTAAGGAAGGAGGGTCAGTTGGTAGTGGACAAGATGTTTATTTTTTTTAAAATTATTATTATTTTTTACTTTGTTAATTTAATTTTTTAAGTTATTTAATGTAAGGAAAATGTAAAGTACCAATTTACCCTCTCTAAATTGTTCAAAATTAATTAAATTTTGACTTTTCTGGTCAACTAATAGTCAATTGGATGGTTTCCATCCATTTGGATTTCAAGTGCATATTTTTGAAAAGTTTAGAATTGCGGATAGCACAAATTAAATGTTAGGGTAAAGTCTGCAAAAAAGTAAAATGTTAGGAATCACTGCTACAATTTTCCCTATTATTTATAGCCAGTGACTATAGTAGCCATTCTATTTGACAGCTTTTGAGGTAATTCTGGTGCCTCAAATAATAAGTTGCCACATAACTTTGCTTATTCTTTTCCAGAACAACAACTTTGCTCTTACTTCACACTTAACAACAAAATTCATCAGGTGAGAAGCCGAAGGCGATTTTCCATCTGTTCTACTCTTGGCTGTCATTTTGGAGTTGAAGATTCTCAATTTGCTGGTAATCTTGATATTTCTTTAAATGGTTTCCGCATGAACTTTCTCTTGCATATCATCAAGTGATTCTTATATAAATGTTTAAGTTCAAATATGCAAAAAGCAAAAAGAGAATAGTAATGCATTCCAGTTTCCACATTCTGCTATCACCCTCACTCTAAGCCTTGGTGACGGAAGTAGCGCAAGAAACTGCAATTCTGCCTTTGATAGAACTTAGCCAATGTCAAATTCACGAAAATCTTAACAACATTGAACTAATCGTGCTCTTTATAACCAAGCCAAGGAAAACTGATCAAAGATTGTTACCTTCGCTTCAATTATCCAAACCACTAATCCTTTGGCGTTTGGTGGAAGCAAAGAGAGCCTGTAATCAACTTCTGGTGGAAAATACCATCTGGCTATAGGCTGTTTCTTGTGTGAGCCTGAAATCAACTAATGGTATATCAGTTCTACATACGATTGAAATATCATACTTCGATTACCCGCATAGACTAATCGCTTACAGGGCAAACGGGGTGAAACTTGGTGAGAGTGGTCTCAAGATCACCAAGACCGCAAGCGGAGAGGTCTAAGAAATGGTAGCCTTGGTACCTAAGCCGGTTAAGGTACCATCCCTCGTACCCTCCTTCATGAGGGGAATAGATAGCCAAAGCTTTGTGCTCCTCCACATCTGATAACCATTTGCCCAAATCAACTTTTATAAGATCTCTTCCAATGAAATCCTCTATTCCTATGCTACATCTGGTCCCTTCTTTTCAATTGTGACTGAACTACTCGTCGTGCTGTAAAATGATAGCTTTTGACGTAGACGAGTAACTGAAGTTAGCAATGATCCGTGATACAAGCAGCTGCAGCTTCCATTTCTGCACAATGTTTTATCTACCGTATAAAAGAAGAAAGTGTGCCATAAGGACAAATGTACATGAAAATTGAAGTAGATTGAAGATTCTATGAGGTCAATTTAGGGCCATATGGTGGAGAAATAAGATAAGATAGCATAGCATATTGCATGTCAATACTGAAATAGTAAGGTGATAACACCATTCTCTACTCCCTCATTTTTTCATCATTTTTTGCTTTAAGAAAACAAAATTGGTAGATCGAAATCTTAATCCTAGTAATGACCTTTGATATCTAAGCAGGCATAGTTTCATCTTGGCCTAAAATAAAGAAGCAACAACTTCCAACTTACGACTATATTATGCGTCTTTCTAATTGGAATGGTAATGGGGCGAGACAGAGTCGGATAGCAATTATTGCTCTGACTTTTGGCTTCGTTTTATTGTTCACTTCTTAAATATAATTCAAGTCAAAAAACATAAATATAAAATAAAAAGATTCAGTGCAGGTTTGGTGAAGTTGGCGCAAGGACTATGTTATGTCTCGTTTATTATTCAGGAGAAGGTAGTGTGGAGTAACTGAGTGCGTCGAGTTGGAGCCTACATGAAAACACGTGTTACATTAAATATATGTTGAATTAATTATAGAGATATGAACTAGTAAAAATTGAAGTTTAAAAAAAGGGGAAAAAGTGTTACAAAATGTTGTCTCCTACTACTGCTATTTGTGACAGTTTTAAAATTTTCGGAGCCCATTGGACCAGTGGAGCTCTCCAGATAATTCGTCGGGCCAAAACTACAAAATTACATATTTGACATTGTCTTCGATCTTCATTAGTCATTACGAGTTGCCCTTTACGTTTTCCCCTGTACTTTTCAACCGGACTACTGTGCATTCTAGAGAGAGAGAGAGAGAGTGATGGGTAAGCAGCCGGTGAGAATGAAGGCGGTTGTTTACGCCTTGTCTCCTTTCCAGCAGAAGGTGATGCCGGGCCTCTGGAAGGATCTGCCTGGTAAGATCCACCACAAGATCTCCGAAAATTGGATCAGTGCTACCCTTCTCCTTAGCCCTCTCGTCGGAACATACTCGTGAGTATTATATCATAATACGTATTTACATTCTAGTATCTCTTTTTCTATCAGATTTGCGTTTTATGGAATGAATATTTATCTTATTTTATTTTAAGATGTGCCATTGCGTTTGTCGTAGACTTCATCTTCTAGAGAAGGGCATAGCTAGGATATTGGTGAATTTATTTCTATTTAAATTGATGATTCGTACCCAATCATTAGGAGTAGTTCCATTTCCAAATTGATTGTTCCTCTGTGAAATGTGTAATATTATGATTGTGAGCTGTAAATTTTTTTATTGCTTTAGTGCGAATGCAAGTGTGTAGTCCCAGATTGTATACAAAATAGTGTTTTTTTTTTTTTTTGGGTCAAATTTCAGCTTCTTGTTGGCATTGATGGCATGGGTATCCTGGTATTTATCAACTTAATATATGGCCTTGCCGAAAAACCCATGCAAACAAAGTGTTGTGATAATACATCTTAGAATGTAGTTGTTGTTATATTGGTTTTAGAATGCAAAAGGGGATCAGGTTAACCTTGAGGTGTGTCATGATAAATGCTCTTGAATTTAAGTGAGGATAAGTTTCCCTATGGAGTTCTCAAGTGATGCGTCCATCCGTTAGATGTGAGTTTATTTTTATCCCAGGATCCAGGGAATAACATTTTAAGGTTCAAAAAGAGGCAATGTGGCAGAAGTCCTTCGTACTAGACTAATTCAGCCAAATCTCAATAGGACTGCCATATTGCCAATTCCAAATTTTGTTTTTTTTTTTTGTGGGGGGGGGTTTTTGGGTCAAATTTCAGCTTCTTGTTAGCATTGATGGCATGGGTATCCTGGTATTTATCAACTTAATAAATGGCCTTGCCGAAAAACCCATGCAAACAAAGTGTTGTGATAATACATCTTAGAATGTAGTTGTTGTTATATTGGTTTTAGAATGCAAAAGGGGATCAGGTTAACCTTGAGGTGTGTCATGATAAATGCTCTTGAATTTAAGTGAGGATAAGTTTCCCTATGGAGTTCTCAAGTGATGCGTCCATCCGTTAGATGTGAGTTTATTTTTATCCCAGGATCCAGGGAATAACATTTTAAGGTTCAAAAAGAGGCAATGTGGCAGAAGTCCTTCCTACTAGACTAATTCAGCCAAATCTCAATACGACTGCCATATTGCCAATTCCAAATATTGGGTCCACAGTAAAAGAAACTCAGTCAATAACAAAAGTAGATTCCCTTCATTGATTAGAGCAAATATATTGCTCTGCTGTGGATGGGGTGGGGGGTTTGAATTCCAGGAAACTCTAGCCAGTTCTTCGAGGATTCATTACCTGTATAATAGACTTAGGAGAATTCCCTCAAGTGTCGCGAAGAGATGTGATAAACTGGAAAAAAAAATAAAAAAAAATAATGTACTTAAATTAATATTTAACAGGAAAAATCCACACTCTAGGCATTGACTCTGACTCACAAATAGTCAAGAGACTAAGCTGAATGGCGATCCTTGACTTCTTGACATGTTCATTCAAGTTTATGAATAACACAGTTCATCGTGTAAAGGTGGAAGCATAGAGAATTGTCACTAATGTGACATGCTTTATATTGATCACAACATAGATATGTATCCTACCTTCAGAAGAAAAATTGTGGGGCCATGGGAGTGAAAGGATGTTTCTTTACATGCAAATTGGCAGGATGCGTTAAGTTTTCGCAGTTAAAACTTTCGTCAAATGGCGTAAAATCTTATAATTTTGTTCCATCCTAATCTGGACAGAACCAATTTCTTTGCCTGGTTTAAATGGCTTGAAAATGCACATGATCTGTGAGATACTTGAATGTGTGCAGAAAATAAGCTTAAGACATGTCATTGAAGACTAGAGAATCACATAGAATTTTGCAAACCATGCTGAGAATATTGGATTGCATATAGTGCCCTACAAGATGCAAATTTTTATGAGAAATTGGAGGGACAATATGTGGCTGGGCTTCTAATTTCCCTTAACAATTCTTGTATTTGCATAAATCATTCTTATTGACTTAAAATCTCTATAAATGGGTTTATAAAATGATAAAATCAAGCACAGAGCAATCAATCTAATTGCTGTATGATTTTGTGTTTGAGTTGTTTCTTTTGGGTTGCTCGAGACATCAATTGGCTCACAATTTGCCAATGATCCTCTGGGGTGAAAAGGAATTGAGGACTGGATAAGGACGAAAATTCCTGCCAACAACTGAGGTGTTTTAGTGATCCAGACCCCAAGCCCTGCGAGCGAGCAGAAAAGTTAGGAGGGTAATCTAGATCCCATTATTTTCTTTGAGTTAAGGAAGTAAATCTGTTTATTTCCGCCAAAGATTGACCACAGTTGGGCTCAGGAAAATGTAGTTCTTCTTGACTTCATCTACTTTTCTTTTTCGTTATTTTTGTGTATTGGGATTTTCCTTTTACAGTTGTTCGCATCAATATGAAATTTCTGTATCACGTCAGCAATTTGTATACTGTGCATCTGTCTTCTTTGGAATCACATTTCTGGGGTATATGAAAGCGCGTTAGAAATTTATAATGACTGAAATGAAGTTAAAAAAATAATGTTCTTGTTATACCCTTGATGAACATATTTCCCATTTATCTTCTCTTTCCTTCATGCAATTTTTTTCTAATTATGGACTTCCATGATTGGCCAATACATTTGCATGTGCGATGATCAATGATCATTTCTCTTTCTCATGTAGCATCCTTTTCACCTCATATTGGATTGTGCTCACTAATATTTTCTTTTCTAAATCTGAAATTACAATGAGATTTATTAGTTCTCTTCACTTTGTTCTTGTTTGTTTATGATAGTGAGATTGTGTATTTTGAACATGCTGACTAAACTGCTCAATGCAGTCCTAGGCATTGTGAACTTCGTTTCTGAACACTTATCTACTCCCGTCTGCTTTGGCTACTACATTGTTGTAATTTGATACTGTGTCTAATTCTTGTTTATGTATGCAGCTATGTGCAGTGGTATCAGGAAAAGGAGAAGATGGAGCATAGATACTGAAAATTCCATGTTTTATCCACTCCTACTGGCCATGATTTTGCCAGGAGCTGCAGTTGTTAAACTCTGGAGTTTAAATGCTCATTTGCAGATATCTACTTCTGTGACCTTTCAACTTTTGTTAAATAACTTGATGTTTGAAATCTGTGGTGTTATGCAAAAATTTTCTGAATACCTGTTTTCTATTTTTCATGAATAAAGAAACAGATTTTGTTATGACATAATTCTCTTAGGTCTGCCTTTTCCAGCATGGATTCCCTAAAATTACCGAGAATGTGTTGCCGTTAGGTCTTCAAAAGAGAGTAGGATTTGATTTCAAGTTTCTCACGAGTGACAATGCTTTTTTTTTTTTTTTTTAATCGTGAATGCTTGAGCCAGCTTATACGCACCTCGACTAATCCCACGGGGCCTTGATGTTTAAAGTCAAGTACTCATCTTAGTGGCCTTAAGGGACTCGAACTGATGACCATTGGAGAGCAAATCAAAACTTGACTACTGAGCTACTCTTCAGAGTTCACGAGTGACAATGCTTTTCTCTTTTGAAAAGTGATCCTGTGAGATTGTGTCTAATTCTTAGCTTAAAGAATTCAGTTTGCATAATTCTTGATGCTGCTTTCAGATTTATATCTCATAAAATTGTCTTTGATTTATCGATAGGCCGTTCAAAGAGCACCGTAGGGTATTCAAAATAATGGAGTATTATATTGTGAAAAACATAAAGCATGATAATGAAAAAAGAAAATTAACAGATGATTTTTGAATTAAAATCAGTTTTTAAGCATAAATTATTTGGGAAAAATGATGGACCTAAAGCTTTGTTTGAGCTTCATTTTAAGAAAAAATGAGTTCTGGAATGGATCAGTAAAATTAAGTCCGCATTTGATCTTCATTAAAAATGAAAATTTCATATCTAAAAGATTAATTATGATCAATTTTAGAATTAAAATATAAGGTTTAAAACTTTAAAAATTTGATATTATTAAATATTATTTATATTTTAAAATTAAAAAATAAGGTTTAAAACTTTAAAAATTTGATATTATTAAATATTATTTATAAAATCATTAATTAAAAATATATTTTATTGATTAAATATATTAAGATCATAATTCTATACAATTTGATCACAAATTATCAAATTAAGTGGCCAAAATTTTTTTTTTCAATTATAAATAAAAAATTTATAGGCCATAATTTATTCTTTGATAAAAAAAAATTAGAAATTTGATGAGTCGTAATTTATTTATCGATTACAATTTTTAGATCACGCATTCTTTATTGGTCACAAATTAATCAATTTGTTTGTTACAATCAACCAAATTGGTCACAAACACTCCCACCACACACCACAACCACAAAAACGCAATCACAACCACCACACACGCAAAAAGCTCACCATCGCAAACCATACCGACCACACCACATTGCATCGCAACCACCAACCACACCACTAAACACCAACAGTCACAATAAAACCACCAATAACACCTACAACACCACTATAAACCCATAAAATCACCGCCATAACACTCGTGCCATCTTAGCCTACCGTCTTAGATGCTAAAAATAATTAAAGCCATCGTTGCTACATCGTGTTGTCGAATATGACGTTGTCGCTCTCTGAGCTTTGAACATGGGTATGATGTGGCCTTTCAAATCGTGTTGCAAGCGAGGCCATTCTCATCTTGTGCTACGGTGAGATCTCAAATCACTCAATTCTCAGTTGGTCGCAAACGACGGCGACGCTGCATTGACTATAGGTAGGTGGTACGGTGGCATCGATATAGTATGGAGGAAGAGAGAAGTGAGGAGTTGGCTATATAGAGAGACAAAGAAGAGGAGGAAATACATGGAATTGATCCATTTAAGAAGGTTATTTTTCCAAAATGGCCTTTGACGCTAAAATTTACCTTAAATACCCCGAACATAAAATTTATAACCAAGCTATCTTAATTTTTAAAGAGTTCAATTAAGCTCTCAAATTATTATCCTCATAAAAAATTGGTACCGAATATAAATCTCTGAGTGAAGAAATAAAACAAATTAATAATTCTCAACAATTAGTTGAAACAAAAAATAAAGTATTACAAATCCTGGTAGATGATTCTCTCAAATATGAAGAGGAAGATATTATTATAAATCAATTTTTAAAACAATATGATAATTATGCTAAGCCTTTAGGAAAACCAGACATTATAAATCAAGATGTCATAACTAGTATAAAAAATATGGAATCAAATTTAGAAATTGTTAATAACAATATTAAGATAGGACCAAAAATCCTATATAAACAAATTGAATCAAAATTTAAAGAATTACAAAATAAAAAAGATTCTTATGTCTCTTTTGAACCACCCTTACCGGCATATGTTATAGAAGAATTAGAAGCAAAATTCTTTGAAGCTACTGGAGAAGAATTAGAAGATTATAAACAAAGCTTAGAACAATTAGCTATGCAAACTGAAAATATATACATGAATGATCCTCCACCTAAAGAAGAAACTACTGAAATTAATACTCCACCTTTAAATCAACAAGTTGAAAACCGACCGTTAATTGGAGAAACTAGTAGAACTAATATTAATACAGATTGGACTCAAGTTGAATCTGATGACTGAAATTTTGAATGGATAAAAGAACAAGAAGGCTACAATTTCAGAAAGGAACCAAAAACTATATCAACCAAACATATACATCTTAGAGATAATAATCCAGTAAAATTATTTACTGAACAAATTCCTACTACTTGAATATGGTTAGATATTGATGATAGCAATAATAAAAGTGAAATTATTGACTCTTGGGCAAAGCTACTGATTTAGCTGTTGCTTTTCATAAATGGAATACCACTCAAGCGTATAACTTTATAATTCATACCTTTAGAGGATTTACTTCAGATCTCTGGAGAAGAATTTCTAAAGAAATTAAAAACAAAATTAAATATGGCGAAAACTCTACAACTACCATAGATAGCAACGAAAGTTTAGATGCTAAAAATTTTAAAGAAGTATTAAAACAAAATGAAAATTTTTTTAGACACCTATTATTAGGAGAAGTTATACCAGAAACTAAAATTGATATGATTACTCAAGAAACTTTACAAGCTGAAAGAGAAATGGAACTATTAAAAATTTGTGATATGTGTGAATTAAATGAATATACTAAGAAATTTGAAAATATATATATCAAAGTATCTAAATCTATTAAAGAATGGAATCTATCGGAAGAAGATAAAAAATTATTAAATAGATATTTTCTTAAATTACCTTGGCCATGGTGTCAAAAGTTATTTGAAAATTACCAAATCTATTGGAGTAAAATAGAATGAGAAGACCCTAACCACAAAGCTGATACTTTAGGAATGAGAACTTCATTTGCTAAAAGAAAAATCGCCGAATGGTGTAAAAAAATCTATGTACCAACACCTATTTAGAAAAGATGGTAAAAAAGCTAATTTATGTTGTTATGGAGAAATAACATTTGTAACACAATTTGACTGTCATCAACCATCTAAAAAATCATATTATAAAAAGAAATTTAAGAAATATTTAAAACATTGGAAGAAAAATAAAGGATTTAAGAACCACAAAAAATATTTTAAGAGGAAAAAACCTTGGAATAAGGAATATAACCAATATAAGAAGCCTCAGAAGAAATCTAAGGAAGAATTTTATAAAAAATGTAAATATTTTACTTGTAATGAATTAGGACATATATCTCCTAACTGTCCTAATAAAAATAAAAGAGAAAATGTTAAATCTATTAAATTAATGGAAGAAAATTGAATACGATTCAGAATTTGAGATAATTGAAGATTTAGACGAATTATCTAAAATAGACTCAATTTACGAGCTTGATATTAAAGAAATTGAGGAACCTGAATTTGAACAGATATATATGAATCAAGAAATTATTGATATTGTTGAAGCTACTTTAGATAGTGAAGAAGAAACTTCACAAACAGTTATGTTTGATGAAGAAAGATATGGAGCTATAAAAGAAAAATAAATATCTTTAAGAGATAAAGGTGTTTTTATTAGACTAATACTACCTTGGTTTGACAAAACTATATACATTGACGAAGTACCTATTAACATAGAAAATGTTAAGGGCAATACTACTATACCTTTAATTACAAGAGAATGGGTTAATAGAGAATTATCATATATTAAAAGATCCACTAGAGAAAGATTAAAGAATATAGTGATTGGAGGAATCCAAATCATGATTAAAGGATACTTTAGAGAGGGAATGGATTTTCCTATACAAATATCTTTAATGGATAACATGATACTTCATGATCGTTTGGACGCTCTATCAAGAGTTGTCTCTGGAAATCTTGTCTATAAGAAAATTATATTTACTATAAGACCTGGATTTGCCATAGCTATATTAGATGAAAACTTAAGTTTAGGATTAAATCTATATCACAAAATTGGTAGATTAAGTATGCCACCAAGAAGTAAAGCTGTAACTTTACATTGTAAAGCTTTATATGCTTTTACTACTACACACCAAAAAGAAATCAATAAAATTTCAGGAGAATTCATAGAAATTCATGAAGACTTTAAAAATCTAGCACAATTTACATTACGAAGAATGCTAAGTGATTGTAACATTTCGTTGCCACAAGAGATATTACTTGACTTTCATTAACGATCTAGAAGAATAGACAGTAATGTAGGTAATCAAGGATTAGCAACTTTGAATACTTTTGGACAATTTGTAGTTAGAATGCCTAGTAGAAGAATAGAAAGAAATATCAGTACTAGAGAACTCTCAAACTCTAGTAGACCATCTACAAGTAGAAATTAAACAGCTATACCTAGAAATAGTATTGATATTGATTTAAGAAAAAATGAGGAAGATAATTTCCTTATATTAACAGAATATTTCAATAATCAAAATAACTACGAAGAAATCATAGCCCTTGTTAATATAGGAGCTTGTACTAGCAATAGTACTAGCCATATAAGAGCAGACTTAGTCGATCATCTAGTAGAAGAAAATCTGCACAAGGAATAACTCTTACAGATTATCATGGAATTAAATATGAAATTAAAATATTTGTTAATCTGAACTAAGTTTTACTGACATAGAAGGAGAACAATTTAAACTGAACCTTAAAATTCATAAAGATTATAGAAAAGGAAAAGATACAAGCCCAATATTACTTGGAATGAACTTTCTTGAAAAAGGTATCACCATTTGTTATTCAGAAAAACATAATGCAAATAACTGTTGAAGGTAAACAAAAAATGTTGCCTAGAGTTAATAAAAATAAAGAATTCATTTATATGATACAAGGAATTAGATCAATCAAAACTAGTATTTTGAGCCCATATATTGAGATAATTCTCAATTTACCAGACTACTGTATGATAAGATTTCATGTAACACTTGATACTAGATCAGGAATTTGCCTATATAAAAGAAATGTGTTCCCAGAACACTATTATAAAAGAGATTATAAGAAAACAACTTACGATCAAACAGCTAGTGATATTGTTGAAATATATAGAGATTTTGTGGAAAAATGTTCCTATTATTATTAGAAAAGGAGAATGTTTTATTCCACGAATATTCGCTACAGATAAAATTGGATGTGATATTCACTTAGGAGAAAATTTTATCTATACATATAGCCCTTTTACGCAAAATAAAGATAGTTTTGAATTTACTACACCTTGTAATCACAAAATTAAAGCATCCAAAATTTATAAAGCAATTGAAATTGCACATCATCTGATTAACCATAAACCTAGACATCAGAGTACTGCAGGTAATCGTGGTGGATGTTATACAGAAATCAATCAAAAACAAAGAATTCCTGTATTAAGAATTAACAAGTTAGAAGAAGAATTAGAAAATATTAAAATTGAACTAAACGAATGTTATCACGAACATCCCTTAGCAAAATGGGACAAAGATAAACCTATGGCAACCATTGAATTAAAAAATCCAGATATTAAGATATCAGGAAAACAATTCCCTTATAGCGAAGAAGATAAAAAGGAATTTGAAATACAAATTAAAGAACTTTTAGAATTAGGAGTTATAAGAGAATCATCTAGTCTATATAATAGTCCTGTATTTATGGTCAGAAATCATAGTGAAATTAAAAGAGGAAAAGCTAGAATGGTAATAGATTATAGAGATCTAAATTCTAAAACTATACCTAATAGCTAAAAATTACCAATAAAAGATTTGTTAATAAAACAAATACAAGGAAGTAAATTATATTCTAAATTTGATTGTAAACCTGGATATTGGCAAATAAAACCAGACGAAGCATCAAAACCTTTAACTAATTTTACTACTCGTAATACATTAGGACAATTTGAGTGGAATGTTATGCCATTTGGATTAATGAATGCCCTAACAATATTTCAACAAAGAATGTATAAGATTATTAGAAAAATAATTTTTTTTTTGTATTGCTTATGTAGATGATATCCTTATTCATAGTAAAAATTTAAAAGAACATATTGAACACCTTAAAATTTTTTATTATATTGCTAAAAA